CCCCCGAGGCATCTTTCTTACCTGACAGTGGGAGCCGGTGCAGTGAGCGGGGCCGGGCCATCCACCGTCTCTGTGCTGGCACTCAGTTGTCCTCAGAGGGGGCAGGACCCCTGCGCACATCCGGTCCTGCGCTCCTTGGCTTAGGAGGGGGCACCGGTGCTCATGGTGGGTCTCCCCACTGGGCACATTCTGGGGTCCTGGAGCTCCTCTGGGCGGCCTCCAGCTCAGGGAGCAGATACTAGGCCCTGGAGCTGGAGGGCGGTCAGGACAGCTCCACCGTGTCCTAGCAACGTCCCCAGGCAGGGATCAAAGGAGGTGGCAGGGCCCGCAGAGTCTCGAGGCTCAGGCTGACCCTCTTCTCCTCAGGCGGTGGACACATCAAAGAGGTCATTGTGGCCGCCGAGGCAGAGCCGGGGGACAACGAGATGGCGGAAGCCCCAGGGAGCCCCAGCCGTCAGGGCCCGGGCCTTCCCGGGGAGGGCGAGCAGGCCCAGGTCAAGCTGCTGGTGAACAAGGACGGCCGATACGTGTGCGCGCTGTGCCACAAGACCTTCAAGACGGTGAGGCCGGGGGCTGCGTGCTCGGGGCCCCGCCGGCAGGTGGGGCCAGGCCTCCCTCCCCCTTCCGCCGGGGAGGTGCCTGAGCCCTGCTTCCCCGCTCTCCCCCAGGGCAGCATCCTCAAGGCCCACATGGTCACCCATAGCAGCCGCAAGGACCACGAGTGCAAGCTGTGCGGGGCGTCCTTCCGGACCAAGGGTTCGCTCATCCGGCACCACCGGCGGCACACGGGTGAGCCGGGAGGGGGCCGTGAGCCGGCCTTGTGGCCCCTGCCTCTGGGGGGAACGTGAGGCTGTGGCTGGGGGCCTGCCTGCCCCTTGGCCCCGGGGCTGACCCTGCCCTCTCTGTAGACGAGCGCCCCTATAAGTGCGCCAAGTGCGGGAAGAGCTTCCGGGAGTCGGGTGCGCTGACCCGGCACCTCAAGTCTCTGACCCCGTGCACCGAAAAGATTCGCTTCAGCACGAGCAAGGACGTGCTTGTGGGCAAAGAGGACACGCCTGCAGGTCCGCGAGGTAGGGGCTCCCCGCCCTGGCCCGGGCCTGGGTGCTGCCCTGGTCAGCGGTCTCTTCAGGGACTCTCCTGGTTCTGCCTTAAAGGATCTGGCGCCTCCACCATGGGGACCGTTACATCATCATCGGTGACGGGCGAACCTATGGAGACATCGCCTGTGATTCACCTGGTGACAGACGCCAAGGGCACTGTCATCCACGAAGTCCATGTCCAGATGCAAGAACTTCCCTTGGGCATGAAAGCCCTGGCCCCAGAGGTGCGGGCAGGTCAGGGGCTGGCCTCTGTCCGCTCAGTGCCGGGCTCTGTGCCGGTCACTGGCTCCAGCGGGAATGGGACCAAGCTGGCCTGCCTTCCTGGTGCTCAGTGCAGTTGCAGGGGAGACAGGAGACCAATGGCATGCCAGAGGGCAGGGAGGGGTGAGGGACAGGGAGCTGGAGGTGAGGTGGAATGGGCTGTGGGGCTCCCCAAGACGTATGCACAGTGCCCCTGGGGCCCCTTGGCTCTGCTCCGTGTAGTGCGTGCAAGTGGGTACCGAGTGTCTCTGCCTGACCAGCTGCCCTCCGTCTGCCTGCCCACAGCCCCCCGGCTCCGAGGAGCTTCCCTGTTCCGGTGAGGGTGGCCGTGAGAACCTGCTGCACCAGGCCATGCAGAACTCCGGCATTGTCCTTGAGCGTGTCACTGGAGAAGAGGGGGCCCTGGAGCAAGCCCCTCCTGCGGCGCCCAGTCCCCAGCCCCTGGGAGATGGTCCCCCGGAGCTGCCGCTGCTGGAGGTGGAGCCAGTGGAGACAGTAGGTGCCTGCGCCGCTGGCGAGCTCCTTTGGGGGTCAGACCTTGGGTACAGGGTCACGACCCTGGCCCTGGAGCCGTCCTTGCTGTGTTCCCTGGGGTGGAAACATTGAGCCACTTTCTGCAGTGATTTTCCCCCATTTACTGCCTTCCCTGGGCTCATGATGGAGCTTGCCGGTGTGGGGGGTGCCACGGCTCTGTTTTTGGTGCTGCTGGGGTCCAGCCCGCAGTGGGTGCTGGAGGCATGCTGGGACACCTCCCCCCGCCCGCCAGCAGGTGGCCAGCGGGCCCTCAGCCGTGCCTAGGACCCACCCGTGCCCTCAATGCAGTGAGACCTTCCCGACGGCGGCCACCCTGGAGGCCCACAAAAGGGGCCACGCAGGTGGGTGGCAGGAGTGGGGGGCACCTGGCAGCCAGCCAGGATGTGTGTTTGGGGCCCTTGGGTGGCGGCCCGGCCTGACATCCCGTGCGGCCCCAGGGCCAAGGCCGTTCACATGCGTGCAGTGTGGCAAGGCCTTCCCCAAGGCCTACCTGCTCAAGAAGCACCAGGAGGTTCACGTGCACGAGCGACGTTTCCGCTGCGGAGACTGCGGGAAGCTCTACAAGACCATCGCACATGTCCGCGGCCACCGGCGTGTCCACTCAGATGAGCGGCCCTATCCGTGTCCTGAGTGTGGCAAGTGCTACAAGACCAAGGTGGGTGCTCGGGCCCTGACCCCTGACCCAAGGGCTCCCCTCTCCTGGGCCAGATCCCTGTCCCGTCCCTGCCTCTTGACCACACAGCCCCTCCCCCAGCCCCTCCGGCCTGGCCCAGAGGCCGAGGCCAGGCCGGCACTGACGGTGCGGGTCCACAGAACGCCCAGCAGGTGCACTTCCGGACGCACCTGGAGGAGAAGCCGCACGTGTGCCCGTTCTGTAGCCGTGGCTTCCGGGAGAAGGGCTCCCTGGTGCGGCACGTGCGGCACCACACGGGCGAGAAGCCCTTCAAGTGCTACCGCTGTGGCCGGGGCTTCGCCGAGCACGGCACCCTCAACCGGCACCTGCGCACCAAAGGTCAGGGCCCGGCGCGGTGGGGGGCGAGGGCGGGGAGGGGTGCCCGGCGTGCTGACCAAGCCCCCCCCGCCCCCGCCCCAGGCGGCTGCCTGCTGGAGGTGGAGGAGCTGCTGGTGGCCGAGGAGAGCCCCGCGGCCGCCGCCGCAGTCCTCGCTGAGGACCCGCACGCCGTGCTGGTTGAGTTCTCTTCTGTCGTGGCCGACACCCAGGAGTACATCATTGAGGTGGGTGCGGCAGGGGCGGGGTGGGACGGTGGCGTGGGGGAGCCTCCCCTGGGGTCGGCTGACCTCTGACCCGTGTCCAGGCTGCTGCGGACGACGCGGAGGCTAGCGAAGCCGCGGAGATCATTGAGGGCGCCCAGACAGAGGTGAGGGGCTGGGGGAGGGCCGAGGAGGGTGGTGTGGGCCCCCGTCCCCGCCCCTCCGCAGCGCGAGCTGAGCGGTGAGCCCCCCACAGGTGGACAGCCACATCATGAAGGTGGTACAGCAGATCGTGCACCAGGCCAGCGCCGGGCACCAGATCATCGTGCAGAATGTGACTATGGACCAGGAGGCGGGGCTGGGCCCAGAGGCGGCTGCCGCCGACACCATCACCATCGCCACCCCTGAGAGCCTGACAGAACAGGTGGCCATGACGCTGGCCTCGGCCATCAGCGAGGGCACCGTGCTCACGGCCCGTGCGGGTGCAAATGGCGCCGAGCAGGCCACCGTGACCATGGTTTCGTCGGAGGACATTGAAATCCTAGAGCATGCAGGCGAGCTGGTCATCGCCTCACCGGAGGGCCAGCTCGAGGTGCAGACGGTCATTGTCTAGCGTGGCCGCCTGCAGGGTCCTGGGGGCTGGGCTGGGTAGGGGCGAGGACCCAGAGAAGAAAGAACACAGAATTCAGGTGTTCAGAGGGGATGTGGGAGTGTAAATAGTTTTTTGTTGCTTTACAATAAAATGTGAAAATCTGCCACTTGTGATGTTGCCGTGGCAGCGGCAGCCTCGGGGTCTGGGGCCACTGTCCTGGCAGGTTTCCCTGTGGCAGCACGCCTGCCCGGGCCACCCTCTGGACTCTCATGCCCGGCCGCCCCGCCCAGGGCTCCGGAGGGGCTGGCGGCACCTTGGCGGTGTGTGGGTGTCACTGGCATGTGGACAGGCAGCCTCCTCCTGCTGCCCTGCCCAGTGGGAGTCGTGACTCCAGCTTCCTAAGCTCCCCCCCCCCCCCCCCGCCCCAGGTGGGTGGAAGGGGATGCCGTTTCCCCGCCTCCAGCCCTGGTGCTGTCTGTTGGGACAGGGGACCAAGGCTTTTTCCCTTGAGGTGACAGCGTGTGGGGGGACAGGCCTGCACTGCGTTGTTTTCCCAGAAGGTGCCGCTGAAGGAGGGAGATTTTGGATGACCTAGTTTTGGGGGGTGGGGGGAGGACAGGAACAAGGACTGGACCTTGGATGGCTGATCCTCTTATCCAGTCCTGACATGGTGCTGGGAGGCGGTCAGAGTCTGCGGAGTCCCGCTTCTGATGGGCTTGGGGGCACCAGAGCAGGCCCAGGGTGGATGCCCCTGCCACCTGGCCGTCAGGGCTCTCCCTGGGACTGGACGCCAGGAGTTCCAGCGTCCAGCTTCATTGAGGGGGCGGACCCAGAGCAGTCCAGCCCCTCCCTGGACCAGGGCCTCAAATACCCGCCTGAGCCCTGGCACCAGAACTGCTGCCCCACCAAGCGCGGAGTCTGTGTTGTGCCACAGACACACCCCCAGCCTGGATCTCTGACCTAGATCCTGAGCCTCGGCTGCTGCCCCATCCGCATCCCAGGTGAGTGATGGAGCCGGCCTGTGTGGGGGTGCCCGTGGCTGGGGAGGACTGGGCTGACCAGGGGGCTGGATGGGAATGGGGTGCTTGTATTTGGGGCTCAGTTTCCCTACGATGGAGAAGGGCCACGGTAAGCCTAGTGCACCACTGGGGAGACATGGAGACGCAGGGAACCTCTGTGTCAAGCGTTCTCACCGGCCCCCGTGGCCCCGGGGCTGGGGCGGAGAGGGGCGGCTTGGTGTGTCTGACTCCAGATTCAAACTCAGGAGCGTCTCTGTCACTCCCAGCCGCCCGCTCCGCGCCATGGGTGGGTTCCGGGCCCTAATGGCCGCGCTCTGGGCGCTGGGGGCCGCCGGGGCCGCGGCGCTGCGCATCGGAGCCTTCAACATCCAGAGCTTTGGCGACAGCAAAGTGTCGGACCCAGCCTGCGGCGGTGTCATTGCGCAAGTGAGGCCAGGGGCCGGGAGGCGGGGCCACAGCTGGGCTTCTCCGGTGATTCCGCCGGCGCGTGACCCCGCACCTGCCGGCCCCTCCCCCAGATCGTGGCTGGCTATGACATCACGCTGGTGCAGGAGGTGCGAGACCCGGACCTGAGCGCCGTGTCCGCGCTCATGGAGCAGATCAACAGGTGCGGGGGACAGGGTCCAGCGTTCGGAGCCCAGGCCGGGCTCGCAGGGCCCGGCGGGTGACTTGACCGCGGGCCTGGCCCTTGTCTCCGCAGCGTGTCCAGGCACGAGTACAGCTTCGTGAGCAGCGAGCCCCTGGGTCGGGACCAGTACAAAGAAATGTACCTGTTCGTCTACAGGTGAGGGGCGGGGCGGCGGGGCCTGGGCGCGCAGGGCAGGAGGGGGCCGGCTCAGCGCCACCACCAGTCTCCTTCCCCCAGGAAGGACGCGGTGTCGGTGGTGGACACGTACCAGTACCCCGACCCGGAGGACGCCTTCAGCCGTGAACCTTTCGTGGTCAAGTTCTCCGCCCCCGGCTCGGGTAAGGCCCCGCCCCTCCCCTTCCGCGGCCCCGCCCCCGCTCCGCCCCATCCCCGCTTCTGACACGAGCCTTCCGCAGCTGCCGGGGAGCTCGTGCTGATCCCGCTGCACGCGGCGCCGCACCAGGCCGTGGCGGAGATCGACGCTCTCTACGACGTGTACCTGGACGTGATCGACAAATGGGGCACCGACGTAAGTCCCGCTCCCGCCCCCAGCGGGCGCGTCCGGGGTGGGGGTGGGGGGCGCGTCCCTCTCGCGGGCTCAGCCCCGGCTTCGCGGCCCCGCAGGACTTGCTGTTCTTGGGCGACTTCAATGCGGACTGCAGCTACGTGAGGGCGCAGGACTGGCCGGCAATCCGCCTGCGCAGTAGCGAGGTCTTCAAGTGGCTCATCCCGGACAGCGCGGACACCACGGTGGGCAACTCGGACTGCGCCTACGACCGCATCGTGGTGTGCGGCGCCCGCCTGCGCAGGAGCCTGAAGCCCCAGTCGGCCGCTGTGCACGACTTCCAGGAGGAGTTCGGCCTGGACCAGACTCAGGTGGGCGTGGGGGGGG